ATATATATATACATATATCAATATATCTAGTGTATAGCCCTAGGGGAATAAATATCACGTAACCCGCATCGTAGGGGATAAATACACGTATACGCGAGACGGAAATAAGTGAACGTTAGCGTAAAAACAGTGACTGAATATAGACGCAAAGTGAACATTGGCTATAATAGGAAATACGCGGCAGGACCAGGTCATGCGTTTGCACAGCCTCAGGCCCGCGCGCACGTGTTGAATCCAGAAACACATTTTTACGGAAAAGCAATTTCGACGAAATCACCAATATTTAGCCAACTAACTGGCATGTAATCTCTATAGGTAAATCTGTGATGAATGAAAAAATATTCAGGTATTTCTGTTAATAAGTAGTAGATTCGTCTGTCAGGGCAAATATCACCGGCAGCACGGCACCGAGTCGTTTCTCTCTTATGAAAAGTTTTACAGTCGTACGTGTATGGAAACAGCATATACATATCTATATCTATAAAGTTGTTCAGCCGAATTTGTGTGTTCGCGCATAACTAGAGAACTCCGCAGCCTAGAGGAAAATTAAATATATTTTCAGAATCAGCTCGTGGTTCTGGCTAAAATTTCAAAAAAGTTAAAAAGTTAAAAATTTATATAAATTTTATTCATCAATAGATGGCGTTACAGATTCACATTATACATCACGTACGTGTGAATCAATGGTGTATAACCATAACGGCCCAGTAGCCGAATTGTTAAAGCATTGGACTCCTATACCATGGATTCTGGGTTCGAATCCCACCTCGGGAAGTGCTTTGTTTCTTTACTTTTGGACTGTTTAGTATGTACTTCTGCCGTATTCACCGTTAATTTTTACCACATTTAAACGTTTAGTAAAAATCCAGAATAAACTATGGTAGATGATAATAATGGCGCAAACTGACGGGAACACTTCACGGAAGCCTATGTAGATTACACATCAAATATTATTATATTTTCTATATAATTTCATTTTATTATTTAGACTGTTTTATTTTAATGACTTTTATCTTTCGATTTCTTATTATTTTTTACTGTTGGGATGGGATGGGATGAGATGGCATGGCATGGCCTGGGATGCGATGAGATGGCATGCGATGGGCTGGGATGGGATATGGGATGGGATGGGATGGGATGCGGTGCGATGGGATGGGATGCGGTGCGATGGGATGGGATGGCATGGAATGCGATGCAGAGGATGCATGGAAGATAGATAGTTGCATTTTTGCGTATTTCCTTGTCACCATAGCGTGCGAGCGCGAGAGCGAGTCAACGCGCGAGCGGGATTTCCCGCGCAACGCCGTATCCGCGCTAGTATATATACTATATATATCATATACTATATATCTATATATCTATATAATATAATAAGAGCTGGCATGAAGGCCCACTACGGTCTCGGTGGCGGTGCACACATGCGGCGTGCACGTGTGTTATGCGTACGCTACGCGGCGCGGCTGCGCGCTGCCGTGTGTGCGAACTGGTGCGTTGTGCGTTCGTGCGATGTCGTGGGGCGTGCGCATACGCGTGTTGCGTCATGAATGCGTAATCAGCAATAAGAGTGCTATCTGAACAGGTCCAGGTTGGTTTCTGGAAGCGATTCCTCTGAATCTAGCCCTACCAGCAGCACCTCTGTCGACTGCTGTCCCTTACCGTTTTGTATCCAGAATAATTTACGGCATCTTTAAGTGGCTCAATACCAGCTGGCGATCAGAATCAAATGGTTTCGGATCAGTTAACTAAATACCCCGTCAATCGTTTGACAGACATCACCTTTCCTAAAACGACATTCCAACCAGTATTTTTGCGCTTCAATATAGCTATCCAATTTATGCTTACCGACACTGCCACTTTTGTGTTTTTTTAAACGGCTTCTTCTTCAGTCGCGCAAACAACAAACTAGTACATAGTAGCGGTGAACCCTAACCGTTTATGCGCGTTGCACTCGAGCAAGCTGTAGAATTAACAGCAATTAGAGCTGACCTCCCGCCAGCCGGATTGCCTGCGTGCCAAAACCGCATCACCAAGGTTTGGGCGCTTTCGAATATCAAACTGCGCCCCACATACTGAAGCCATCGATGAGAGATATATTCGGATGCTGTAAGTATCGCCAATATGTGTGGACACCAGCCAAATTCGAACTTACACACGCCCGCCCGGCGCCGCATGTGCGGGCGCTATCTTTACCATGTACCTGCGGTCATACACATAACACGTACTCCGCAACCCGTACACGTGAACATGCGGTGTTAGAATGCACGAATGCCACGCCGTACACCACCCGTGACCGTGAACCAGGCGGTGATTCCGATGCCACAATGCACGCACGTAACATCCACCTACGTAAATGCGGTGTAGCATCACGAACTCACGCACCGTACACCATCCGCCGTACGTGAACAGCGCGGTGTCTAGATGCACGAATCACGCACGTTCTACACGCACGCACCGTAACCGAACATCGCGGTGTTAGCATGCACGGAATGCACGCACGTACAGCACCCGTGACGTGATCCATGCGGTGTAGATCACGACATGCACCCGGTACAGCCGCACCCGTCAACCATGAACATCGCCGGTCAGTAAACGCTGCCACCGCAATAGCACCCACCACGTCCAAAGCCCCGTCCGCTGAGAACATAGACCCAGTGTAGTATGCCGAACTACACGCACGTACACGCACCCGTAGCGTGAACATGCGGGTTTAGAGCGACGAAGTCACGCAAAGTCCACGCACACCACGTGAACAATGCGATGTAGTATCACGAATGTCATCGCACGACCACGCTACCCGTCCGTGAACATGCGGTGGGTTAGATCCACGAATGCACTGCCGTACACCACCCGTAAGTGAATACATGTCGGTGTTTAGATGCACGAATGGCACGCACGTACACTTGCACCCTCGTCCGTGAACCTTGCGGTTGTTATCCTGCATCGAATGACGCGCGTACACGCACCCGTACGTGAAGCATGCGGTGTTAGATGCAAGCGAATGCCGCACTACACCCACCCGATCGCCCGCGGTATATACGCGCCGATAACACACAGACACAAACGAGCACCCGTATGAGACATGGCGCGTGGTAGCAATGCACGAATGCACCACGTTCACCACAAACAGACCGCACACCGTACGCGGAACATTGCGATGTTAATTGCACGAATGCACGCACCTACACGCACCCGTACGTGCACATGCGGTTTAGATGTGGGCGACGCAGCACGCAGCGTACACGCACACCGTTACGTGAACATGCGATGTTAGATGTCACGAAGTGCACCACGTACACGCACCCGTAACACCTGAACATGGTCGGTGTTGGATCACTGAATGCCCGCACGTACACGCACCCCTACGTGAACCATGCGGTGTTAGATGAACGAAGCACGCACCAGTACAACCGCCGCACACCGTACGTGAACATGCGTGTTGGCATGCACGGAATGCACGCACGTACACCCGCACCCGTGCACGTGAACATGCGTTGTTGGCTCACGAAATGCAGCGCCCGAAAACGCACCCGTACGTGAACATGGCGGTGTTGGATGCCCGAAATGCACGCACGTACACGCACCGTAGCGTGAACAGCGGTGTTGATGCAGCGATGCCCGCACGACAACCACACCCGTCACGTGACATGGCGATGTTAGACTCACGAATCACGCACTTACTACCACGCCCGTTACGTGAACATGCGATGTTAGAAATGCACGAATCCACGCACCGTACACGCAACCGCCGTAACGGAACATGCGATGTAGACACGACTGCACGCACGTACACGCACGCCGGTACTGACATGCGAATGTAGAGCCACGAATGGCACGCCACGTACCCGCACCCGTACCGTGAACATCGTGTTAGACAAGCACGACATGCACGCCACGTCAGCCATACGCACCGTGACGGAACAGTGCGATGTTAGCATGCACTAATGCACGCACGTACACCAACCCTGAACGCGAACATTGCAGTGTTAGATGCCCACAGATGCTACGCCGTACACGCCCCCGTACGTGAACATGCGGTGTAGATGCACGAAATGCACGCGCGTAGCACCGCACCGTACTGAAACAGCGGTGTTGATGCACGATGCCCCACGTACTCACGCACCCGGTGCTTCGTGGAACCAATTGCGGTGTTAGATGCCCGACATGCACTCCCGTAACCCGCACCCGTCGTGCACATGCAGTTTTTAGATCACGAGCATGCACGCCCGAGACCTCGCCCCGTACGTGAACATGCGGTGTTAGATGCACGAATGCACGCACGTACACGCCACCCTACGTGCCCATGGCGTGTTGGATGCCAGCGAATGCACGCCCGTACACCCCCCCGTACGTGAACATAACGGTGTTGGATGCCGAATCACGGCCACTGTACAACGCGACCCCGTGCGGTGAACATCGGTGTTTGGGCTGCACGACATGCACGCCGCTACACGCACCCAACGCACACGAGCATGTCTGAAACAGGCCTGTGATCCGTCAACAAGCTTGCTACGTCTCTATATGCTGTCTTTTATAGCTTTATTCTCTCTAGATCTCCAATATCATGGGGTCCCTGGCATATCATTGGTGATGTGCCAGTGGGTCATGGCAAATTGGTCATGGGTCCACGGGTTTATTGATCATGGGTCATGAGTCATATGGTCATTGAGTCCTTGGCCATGAGTCCGGGCATTCTCGTAAGAAGGTTCGTCTATCTAAGAACGTATGTGTGGTTGAGAGAAGAAGATGCTTACTCATCTACCGATGTAGCCAGCTGCTGTGATTGCCAGGCGCCGCCCTCATCCTTTCTGCTTGTCTGCGTGCGTGTGCGTGCGCGCCGTGCGTGTGTCTGTGTGTGTGTGTGAGAGAGAGAGAGAGCAGAAGATGCTTCCGCTTCCCCGATGTAGCCAGTCGATGGTGATGCCCAGGCCTGCCTCGATCCGTCCGCTACTGCACCTGAAACGTCTCCATCTCCGTCTCCGCTCATACCCGTTCTATTCCACCAGGGGTCCCCTCCCTGTCCCTAGTGCTTGCAGGAAGCCTGCAAGACAGAGCCGCAGAGCTTGGGGCGGAGTTATCCTACCGTTGGTCCGCGTGAATCCAAAACTATAAAAAACACACATTACTTTTACATCGCGCGTACTGATACGTGGTTCTATATCCCTAGTAAATGCTGGGCTATCTATTTTAGTTCTATTATTAGCTTCTTATAGCGAGCACTCTTATATGCTAGCAATCTTATATGATGCTACTCTGATATGGTATTAATCTGATATGATATTTATCTGATATGATATTACTCTTATATGCTATCAATCTGATATGACGCTACTCTGATATGGTATTAATCTGATATGGTATTAATCTGATATTATATTACTCTTATAATGATGATCTTTCCTATATCTGGTAAGATACGGATATGCCTACTCTGATAAGCACGGCGTGTGATGGAAAGTTTGCGCAAGGCGACGTGACAGTCGGAAGTAGTAAAACTTTAGCCGCCAGCCAACAGCGCGCCAATTATATGTTTACATAGGCTTAGCAACCCAACCACTGGCAGTGACAGATCGCGAGAGATAGCGTTACAAAAATAAATCATTTCCCTTTGCAATTAAGTGTGGTGGGTAGTTACAGCGTTTAACGCGCAGGGGAACACGTGACGTCAGTTTTTTTCTTCCAAACAAGGCATTCCGGTGATAAATCAACTCAAGACTTTCATCAGTTCTCATTTCCCTACTGGACGGAGATCAATAAAAGAAGCGGGAGGCGCTTGCCAGTGGGTGGGTGGGTTGGGAGGTTAGCAGGTGGGGAGGGAGGTGTCACTTACTGCATAGGCACTGTAGACAATCTGGTCTGGTTGGCTGCTGCTCAGGTATTCGTTCAACTCTCTCGTGGAGATTACTGGAGCATTGGGACGATTGCTGAAACGACACAATACCACGCGTGAGAATGCGGCTGATCGTGAAGTCGGCCATCGCCATGGTAACATAATTGACGTCGCGCACGGACGACTAATGACTTGTGCTATCAATGACGCTAATTGGTAAATTTTGGCAAATTGCTAATTGATAATGCATTAGTGAAAGATATAATGAAACGATAATGAGTTTCGCAGAAGAAAATTGTTGTTCATCAAACGGTTACTAGTGCTGATGCTGCTGCTGATGCTACTGCTGCTGCTGATTCTGCTGCTACTGCTGCTGCTGCTGCTGCTGCTGATGCTGCTGCCGCTGCTGCTGCCGCTGCCGCTGCCGCTGCCGCTGCCGCTGCCGCTGCCCCTGCCCCTGCTCCTGCTCCTGCTCCTGCTGCCGCTACCGCTACCGCTACCGCTACCGCTACCGCTACCGCTACCGCTACCGCTACCACTACCACTACCACTACCACTACCACTACTACTACTACTACTACTACCACTACTGCTACTACTACTACTGCTGCTGTATGAAATGATCAAAAGCACTTAATATGACTATTGCGAGATTTTTGCTCAGAAAAACTAAATATAGCTGAATATAATCTCATCTGGCAGTGAAAATATCACTGATTACACCAACATTAAAAATACTAAGATTTTATGCAGTTATAGCATAGAAAAATGGATATGAACACATCGTAACAGCAATGCATTTTATCGCGTCACGACAATGCCTAATGGCAGAATTGGTAAACTTGTATTTGTGTCGGTGATTAATTGAAAACAAGTGCATGATTTTACAGAGCCATGTTTTGTCTATGGCAGATAAGCGGTGGCGCCACAAGCTAATCCACACTTCCGCCTAGTTCAAGATAACAGAAAACGAATGTTTACAAAACTAGTTCAAAACCAGTAGTTCAAAACTAGTAGTTCGAAACTGGCAGTTTTTGGTGAATACAAAGGTTCTAAGACATTTTATTGTTACTCTAGACAATTGCTGTTACTCAAGGAATAACGGTAGGTGTCATAAAAGTGGTGAAAACACTGGAAAATTCTCGCAATAATCGCTTTAATATGATGTTAACGAACATGACGTTTTTTCACCGTGATATCACCAACAACTCGACATAAATGATATAGAACGACCCATGCGTGGACAACTGCACGAATTCACGTCGCACTACCTGTGTATCGGCGACTATCTGAGACAGGCCAGGTTGTTTTTCTGGACGATTCTTCTTGAATATAGCCCTACCACAGACCTCTGTCGACTGCTCCCTTACCGGTTTTATCCAGAATAATTACGCATTTAAGTGCCTTCAATACCAGCTGGCGATCAGAATCTAAATTGTGTTTTACGGATTCAGTTAACTAAAATAACATCAACGTTTTGACAGACATCACCTTCCCTAACGACATTCCACAGTATTTTTGGCTTCAATTATAGCTAATGCAATTATGCTTACCACACTGGCCACATATTACGTGTTTTTTTACGGTTTTTTAAGCGCGCAGCACATACTATACATAGTAGCGGTGGGAACCCTAACCGGTTTATCGCGTTCACAGAGCAAGGCTGGGTAGAATTACAGCAATTAGAGTCTGACTGCGGATTGCCTGCTGCCACAAACCGCATCACCAGGTTTGTGGAGCTTTTCGAATATAAAGACTGCTCCCAACAAAAATGAAGCCAATAGATGTAGATGGATTATATGTGCGGATGCTGTAAGTATAAGCCTATATGTGTGGACACCAGCCATTCGAACTTACACACGCCCGCCGTGCGCGCATTCCGTACTTATACATGTACATGCGGTGCATACACATACGCGTACACGCACCCGTACGTGAACATGCGGTGTTAGATGCACGAATGCACGCACGTACACGCACCCGTACGTGAACATGCGGTGTTAGATGCACGAATGCACGCACGTACACGCACCCGTACGTGAACATGCGATGTTAGATGCACGAATGCACGCACGTACACGCACCCGTACGTGAACATGCGGTGTTAGATGCACGAATGCACGAACGTACACGCACCCGTACGTGAACATGCGGTGTTAGATGCACGAATGCACGCACACACGCGCACACGTACGTGAACATGCGGTGTTAGATGCACGAATGCACGCACGTACACGCACCCGTACGTGATGAGGAGGCAATAGAGAGAACTAGCTAGGCCAGACAGGTGTTCTTAGATCTATTAGCTATGGTTGTCAGAGATACGCAAATACGGTTGCTGCCAGTGATACTGATATAGGGTTTCAAGATATCAAATAGTTCTGTGCCAATGATACCTGAATGGGGTTTCAAAGGATATCAATAGTTCTGTTGCAATGATACTGGAATAGGGGGTTTCAAGATATCAAATAGTTCTGTTGCCAATGATACTTTGAATAGGTGGTTTCAAGATATCAAATAGTCTGTTGCCAATGATATTGAATAGTGGTTTCAAGTATTCAATAGTCTTGGTGCAATGTACTGAATAGGGGAGTTTCAAAGATATCAAATAGTCTGTTGCCAATGATCCGAATAGGGGCGTTTCAAGATATCAAATAGTCTGTGCCCTAATGATACTGAATGTTGAGGGGCAATTCTAAGATTAATCAGCTCTTGTTCGCCATGTACTGAAATAGGGTGGTTTCAAAGATATCAAATAGTCTGTTGCCAATGATACTGAATAGGGGGTTTTCAAAGATATCAAATAGTCTGTTGCCAATGATACTGAATAGGGGGTTTCAAAGATATCAAATAGTCTGTTGCCAATGATACTGAATAGGGGGATTTCAAAGATATCAAATAGTCTGTTGTCAGAATATAAAGGCGCGGCGGGTTGTCAGCAACTCTTAGAGACCATGTGTCGTCAATATTTACTAGCGACCATGTTTGTCATAACAGTTGTAACAGTGTTGAAAGTGTCGGTCGTTATCCGACGGGGGGGGGTCGTTACCTGACGTAACGAAAACAGTATGTAAGGCTTATGTGAAGCATGCTTTATTAAGCATCAATTCCTCTGATATATATATATTTGCCACGTTTCGGCGAGTGATTCTAATATAGACAAATGCATTTCCCATCCAATAACAATCACATTACTAATCTGAAATATGATCCTTGGATAGCCAAGATATTTGCATAATCATGGAAATTGGCAGCCATTTTAGGATTTACGCAATTATACAATTGCCGTAGCGAGGATTGCTTAGGACTTTCAAGCTATGTTGTTCTGGAGATTCACTGAAATGCACTGCAGTGAAATACATTTCTATTGCCTTTTTTTCTCACGCTCAATGCTAGCATTTCCTTGCGATAATATAATCACACCGTTACTATGCATCGCGACCCGCTCTCCAATTGTTACTTCATAAATTATGTAATTTTCAAATAAAAGCCTATGACGCGGTATGAGAGGACTGACGTTCGAGTTTAATCATTGTATCAATACCAAATAATCAATGCGTCTGCTGCTCTATAGCAACTGTCGTTTGCGCCACGTTTAGTTCCTGAAACACATTCCTAGCGAATGCACTAACCTATTAATGCCATCCCATTGCACACCCAGCTTGCGACTATGCAAATGCCCTAAACATTGATTTGATCTTGCATCGAACCCCACTCCGCCGATCCTGGCGGAACCTTTCCCATGCGATCCCATACATCATACACGCGCGCCGCGCGCACGCTTGCACGCAAGGCACGCCGGCGCCTGCGCACACACATATAAATAATACTATTAGTATTACTAGCGCGGATACCCGGCGCTTGCCGGGGAAATCAGTTGGCGGTTACTCGTTGGTCGACGTTGGTTGAAAGGAAAATAACCCAAACACTACTATCTGATATCCTGCATCATCGCATCCATCCAATTCCATTCCATGGCCATGCATCCCATCGCATCCATGCGCACCGCATTCCCATCCCAATATTCCCTCTACATTCCCATGGTTTACATCGATCCATGCATCCAAATGACATCCGATGCCATCTCATCCCCATCCATTCCCATCTCCATCACACTGAATCCATTGCCATACCATGCCATCCATTCCCTGCCATTTCATCGCATGCATTTTCCCAAACAATTAAAATAATAAGAAATCAAAAAGATAACAAGAACTAGTTTAAAACTTAAAAACCTAAAAACATTAAAAATAATAAATAAATTATATAAAAAAGTTATCATAATATTTGATTGTAACCCTCATTAGGCTTCGTGAAGTGTTCCGTCAGTCTTGCGCATTCATTATCATCTAGCGATAGTTTATTGTGATTTACTAAACGTTTTAAATGTAGTAAAAATGTGTATAATTCTTGAAATAAATGGTGACGATGCCGTAAGTTACTTACTAAACAGTCAAAGTAAAGAACAGGAATTTCCCGAGGCGCGTACCGCGGTGCGTAGATAA